CCCACCCCCCCCCCCCCCCCTCTCCTTGAATCAAACCAATAAAATAGTTCACTTAGCAATCTACATTATCGTCTGTTGTGGTTCAAGTTTTGTGCTTATGTCGGATTAAAGTTTCATATTGAAATTGAGTTTCTTAATTTATGCAGCTATATTACTAACAAAGCCCTTATAGATGATCTTTATGGCTGAAAAATACTTTTTGTTATTCACTTAAGATACCATTGATTCACAATAAAACGGAATTACTGTTTTTTTTTTCCTGAACTTGTGTAACATCTGACAAAATTGAATTTCTAATATTGATTGAATTTCTTTAATTCAATTATTCATGTCCTTCTATTTGTAAATTCTTTTTATGGACACCATCTTTTTTTTTTTTTTTTTTTTGCATGCACCAGCTTTTCAGCACAGAAATGACAGAATAACAGACTGGATTTTAGGCAGCATTGTTTGGCCAATTTCCAAATAAAGAGGCTAGGCCGGTCATTAATGTATACGAGATGAATCTTTATTCAAATGATAAATAATCTTAATAAAATTTTGTATTGGTCCAAAGCTAGGTTGGGCTGGTCTGGCTTAAATAAACAAATGTTAAAAGACCTAATGTTAAATGTGCTAATGTTGGACAAAGTTATAAGATATTTCATTTTTTGATGAGTAGGAAGATAAGTTATAAGATATTTTTAACACGATAAACTGGGAGACACTTTAGGGCGAGGACACACATCATTGAGGAGATAGATTATACGTAGCAATATGTTGTCATTTTTACGACGCGGAAACATGGATACGAAAGAATATCCAAAAGTACCGGAAATTGACCCAAAGTGACACAAAGGGGAGCATTATTTAGACAGATTCACAATTCCCAAGCTTTACACAAATTTGCACAGCACTAAATAGATACGAACATGATAAAGACATCATTGTAGCATACTTTATTGAGGGTTGGTACTTGGTTCTGAGACCTAAAGTTTTGAGAGAAATTTATTTTTAAATAAGAAAAATAAATTAAGTCTTTTTGTCAATGCGATATTTTATTTTATAGAAAGTAATAGTAGTAAATATTTTTTTTTTGTTGGGAGATAGCTTCGCCCTTACGAAAATGGGGAATTTTAATATTCCCATAAACTCTGCTATGGTTCGGCGGTGGAAAATATTTGAGTTCCCTGAAACCGTGGCCCAAAGTAGCCTGAAGCATACAGCTTTTGTTTGATGAGAACTTGGACCCCTTGTAATTCGTTCCATCCTACTAAATACTAATCTCCTTTACTTAAAAATTCATTTGGGCCGATTTAAATTTTTAAAATTTAAGTTGATGATGTATTTCCAACATATATTTAAATTATATCTTGGATCATTCTAATTGAAGTTATATTTTGGATAATTTTTATCTGGATATATCAAGTGAGAAAAATATTTGTATGAAAGAATAAGAGTATAAAACGAGTAAACTGAGATAGTATGCTGATACATAGTTAGATTTTCGTTTTTAGTTACATCATTTTTTTTTATCTTAATCTTTCACAATTTGATCCGATGAATAAAATTAAGAAAAACAAAATTATGCACCGGTCATATAAAATAACTTTAAAGTCATTCAAATTTAAAATATTATCTATTGTAAGTTTGTTGAATTTTATAATGTTAAATTATCATATATTATAAATTTGTTAACTTTTAAAGTAGTTATATTAAAAATTATATGAATGATGACTTATTATTGGTTAATAATGTAAAATTTTTTACATTAAAAGTGCAACACCATTGAGCTCTAAAATTAATCTCACTTTTACAATAAAAGTTTTATTCATATATAACTGTTTGATTTCTTAAGTTATTCTTATATATTTATTTCTCTTGCAACTTACAAGCACCACATTTTTATTTCTTTATCTGTAATTTTCATCGAATCATTCATCAAGTCTACCGGTTTCTCTCTCTTTGTTTATTTTGAGTCTAAATCAACCTTATCATAATTAAAGTTAAATAAAGATTAAAATAAACCTGCCACGCTCTTATAAGGCCAATTATCATTCTATTTTACAATTTAAAAGCTTATAAAGCGCAAGTTAAAAACCATTCAGAAGGCAACGAGAATCCGAAAGCGTTATATTCAACGTTGTATAATAGCTTTTCAAGAAAATCAGAAAGAAGAAAACAAATTATGGTAAATACAGACAACCTCATCACAAGAACCAAAATTCTTGAATTATCTATAGAACACGTAATTACATTTATCAGAAAATATTTCTATGATAAAGGACGATAGAGAGTTGCCACAGAATTTCGGACAATGTAGAAACCTGTGAAGAAAAAAAGAATGGAACTAAAAGCCTGATGTGTTAGGATTTCTACACTACCCTCAGTTTCATGAATGAAAAAAATAAAAACAATTTCCACATCAGTTTTGACCAAGTGGGAAAAGTGAATTGTTTAACATCTACAATTACATTAGCAAAACCTAATTTGTTAGGACTGATATGATATACCTTATACTACTGCTTTTAGGCACACTTGCTAGATGATTTCGGACTAACTTATCAGTATGCAGAATATCACTGAAGATCTTATCCTTTATTAGCTAATTCAATGCATGACATGCATTGGCACTGACATCCTCCTCGACAGGCAAATTTAGATCAGGGAGCACGAATGTAGAATCTTGGTTACAAATGTCTTGTGCCTTGGGAGAAGCATTTGGCGCATGAACTAATGAATCGTCATGTGTGACAGTTTTTGGGGAGACTGAATTTGATGGATGATACTCTGACTTTACAAACTGAGAAGGGCCACTGAAAGCTTTCCCAGACACCTCAGAGGCCGTAGTAGCAGCAGCACTTGAGTCTTGCCGTGACTCCAAATCAAGCTGTGTGACAAAAGGTTAAGACATGTTAGCTTCTAATGCATCATATCTTATCTCAATAGATAGATATGTTCATCGTTCAACAAGTTTATAGATTTTAAATACAGAAAGCAACAGTCATTCACAGCTTCTTATGTTAGGCATGTGAACTAGGAAGAACGAGAGGGGTTTGAAAAAGGTAATAAAGAGAAGGCCAACGTAGTCACCTTCATTCTCTTTAAGCTTTCATTTGTGGCTCTATGTTTCTCAACACTGAGACGCAAGGATGCCAGTTCCTGTTCCCAAATTCACACAATATCAATAAACAAACCATAGAAATTATATCTCCAAAGAGAAGGGTTGAAACCCGTGTGAAGCAAAAATAAGCTTTGTATGAAAATTAGGACAAAATCATACATTTTTCAAACTTTTTCTTTCTTTCAACAACAAATTCTCCTCCTCTTTTAGTTCAGCTAAGGTCTGCAGACACGATAAACATTGAGATATGTTAAGAGCAGGTATAGAAAACAAAAAGAAAACACAGAGGGAGAACAGACGGTTATTATTTTATCCATAAATGTAATGACAATAGAACATGCAAAACATGGGGCCATGGCACTATACAAATAGACTAACTTGCTATTTTCCAATTGTGTTTGCTGATAATATTGAAACTGCAACATAAACTACAAGTTGACAATTGTTCTAAAAAGTATAAGTATACGTCTATACAACAAAATATAAAATCACCAGATACAGATTTTTTTGGCAGCATCTAAAATACCAACAACCCATTGAGACACAGTCTTTAATGTAACTGGCAAAATTGTCTTGTAAGCAAAAAAGTACAAAAACTAAGCTGTATATTGGCCATCTAATCCATAGTTGTTGACTCAATCAAACTTTGTTTTAATCTCAATCATTTGCACTTTGCTTTCAATGTACTCAATGAAAACAAGTAAACTAGTTTATTAGACTGTTCAATTAACAACAATTCTCCAACTAGGCTAAGGTCACATAATTTTAAGCTCCTCCTTCACCTCCACCCTGGTCTCTCTGCTGCCATATGAGCATATATTGTCATACCAAAAATGTCTGCATGGATCCTATCTACACAAGTTGGGCAGTCTAGACCAATCAATACCAGACAAATTATCGCATGGCACAAAGATTTATATGATTATTTAATATAAAGTGATAGTGTTTACATGATGATTGGGTCTACCCAATTTTCCCAAACAAGCGCTACAGATGTACTTATCCCATCTATCGCCCTACCCTTCATTCATATTCCTATAATTCTTACATAACATACAAATATATATATTCTTTTTAATAATAATACCATCAAATATCACGATGCACGCAGCACGCGCATCACCGTTGATATAATTGTGTTCCTTAAAAGTTTATTTAAGAAACGCCCCAATTATTAGAAGATCCGGGAATATGGACCTCCAGTAATAAGATCAGATGCATGTACCTTTTTTCTTCTTGACTTTCTGGTAGTGGCTGTTTCACTGGGATTTGCAACCTGCAAAATACCAAACATAAGAAAATTTAGGATCCAGAAAAATACGGATTTATTGAGCGAAATAATATTATAATTATAATTATAATTAAAATACGATAATATTCAAGGCAAAAAGCCCACCAAGGAGAAGAGCAAATATTTAGGTAGTGTAGGATCTACTTTTTTGTCTTCTTTTCTCCTTAAAAGTAGAATCTCCCGTATTGAACTTTTGTTCATTAGAATAAAGTTACTTCTAATTTTGAAAGCTTTTCAAAAATTACATTTAAAACCCAATTTCCCCTTAAGAAGAGAATTTTTTTTTTAAAAAAAAAAACCCTTAGTTAAACCTTACATTAGAGTAGAGATAAGCAATAAACCAAACAACACATGAGCTTTGACTTTAAGAATGGTTACCATTCCATGACATCTGAATATCAGGGACAATAATCGAGGATAATCCATTCTCTAAACTTTTTTTTTTTTTTTTAATAAAAAAAAAGAAGTTCAAAAGCGTTACTAAAAGACCTTAAACAAATAATGAAATTAATATGTCCATCCATCTAAATCCTTTTACTAATAACAATTATTAGACTAGGGCACACAACTTAGCATTAATTGAAGTGCACATATACCATATTCCAATCCAAGGAAATCTTATTTACACCTAACAGTTACACTGCTGTGACTCCGTAGTCCGTACCATCAAAACGATAAAAAAAAAAAAAAAAAATTGATATTGATATTGGCCTATTGAGGGTGGGTAAATAAAAACAAAATGACTCTCATCACAATCGGTCCATCTCCATCCAAGGTAAATGGGTAAAGCTAAATTCTTTATTTGCACTCATGTCCCAAATAATTAAAAAAAATAAAAACGTGTGTTTGAAAATGAAAGTAATGAGTAGAAGACTGGTAGAGATTAATACACACATAGCTAACGAGGCAGGCCGAGTAGTTCGGGCTCGTCCCACCAATTTGGTAACCACGTGGTCCCCACTTTCTTTTGGGAACTACCAAAATCGCTATAATCGTTGGTGGCAGCATTTACACCCTCTTTCTTTTTCTTTTCTTTCCAATTTCCTTGTCCTTTCTTTTTGCTCCTTCATCCTTTCTCACTTTCTAATTATTTTGGACCCCAAAAAACATCACACGAGACAGGTTACAGGGTAAGTAAGGGTTACCCATTTCATTTATTTTGTCACACTCTTAGACCATCCTCGTCTCCCATTTCGGACCCCACCAAGCACCCAAAGACTACTGTAATAATTCACAGCTTGTTATACTATTGGATAACAGTTCCCAATCAAAAACTCCCATTCTTCCCTTCATTTATACAAGAAAAAAGAAAAATCAAATGGGGTTCCTACTTTTGACTTTGGTCCTGCTCATGCACTATCTTATTATTTGACATGAGCATTGAGATTTGAGGCTGTTCAAACTTTAAATTGTAAAGCAGAAACAGATATCGTGACCGACGTTTGTCAGTTTTAACATACATGTGAAACGACGACGCATATAATTATTAATTAAAATTAAAAATAAAAAAAAAGAGTGCGTGTGCGGGCGCAGGAAAAGCAACAATGAAGGGACGACAGCGTATAAGTTACCCACCCACCCGTTGAGAAAAAAAAAAAAAAAAAGTTGACAACTACTATGAAACATTGAAATTTGAAACCACGAAAACACGCCACCTAAAAAACCACAAGGTGCCCCTATCCCTGTGATATTACCTAATTACCCCTGACGGAGAATCTACTGCAATGGCGTGGCGGTGGACGGTTGACAGTAAATAAAAAAGTGAGTTACAAGTGAAAGAGATGTTGCAATTAGTTTTGGTGATTAGAAGAGAAGAGTGAAAGAGAGAGGATGGAACCTTAGATCTTGAGGTATGGGGAGTGGAGTCCTCGTAGGCGGCGCTCCAGGAGAGCGGCGTGGTGGGGCTGGCGCGGGTGGACTCCGCCTTCTTGTTGTTGTGTCTGGAGCGGCGCTGGCGGACCGTCCACCGGAGGAGAAGAGAGGGAGGCGGCGGCGGAGGACGGTGGAGGCGGAGGAGAAGCTCGACGACGAGGGAATCGTCGGCCATGGCCACCTTTACCCACTCGTCGTCACACATATCTGCTCACTGCTCCTTTGTTAAATGAATCAATCAATTAACACTTTTCTTCATGTCTTGCATTTGCAAATGCAAATCAACACTCCTCACCAGTCACCAATAATAAATAAATACGCCCAATTTATCTTTCTTTTTTTTTAAAAAAAAAAAAAAGAAAAAACCTCATACCTCTCTCCTTCTCCTGGTCCCACTTTTCTGCACGTGTCTAACCCCATTTTACGTTTACAACACTTCTTATTATTAATTTCGTACCAACATCAACATTAAATAATTCTCTAATCAAGTTATTTTTTCAAATACACACTTTAAGTCTTCTTTCTTCACTGCTCTTTCAAACTTCCTTTAAAAATAATTAATTCAACACCCCCTAAAAGAGACATGCTTCCAAGTATTCATATATGACATTCTAATCAAATGTATTTAGGGTTTGCTTTTTTATTTTTAATTTATTTATTTAATATTACAATCGTTAAATGGATAAATAAACCATTTCATGGTTAGAATTTAAATGTGAATATACGGGGAAGGGGGTAATTAATTTACAATCTTCTTAATTTGACCATCCTTCTTCCTACCTTATTATTAATGGGTCCCAGTGGTTGGTTTATGGATTGTTGGTCCCATCTCAGGGTGAAGAACAGATTATCCTCTAATCTTTGTTGGTCTATTTCCTTTTACATTTTCATAACATTATAGTAGTAGTACTTTCTATAATTTATGATTAGTAAATTTAAATCGTACAGAAGTAACGCGTGGCAGAATTTAACAATGCAATAAAGTATAGGAAAATAAGTTAAAAATGTATGAACTAGTACAAGAATGTGAAATACAATTCGTCCTTTTATATATATATATATATATAATTATATATATACACACACGTTGTGTCATGTGTGTGTGACCATGGCGTATTCGAGATTTCAAGTGAATGATGAGTAGAACCTCACCTAAAATTTATTGTTAATAATAATAACCATAAATTTGAGCACTTTATTAAAGACAATGAAGCCTTTTATGAAGAATATTAATGGTTGATTTTATGACATCGGTCGAGACAATAAAATAAAGCATTTTAATGAAAGAAAATGTTTATTAAATTAAAAAATGAAAATATTTGATAATTATGTTTTAAATAATTAAAAATATTTTTAAATTCGAGTCTAAAAACCCCTGATTGTCAACACCCAAATCTTGGATCAGTTGAAGAAACAGTTATTGTCGTAGAAAATATAGGCGTGGTGTTATTTAAGAAAAGCCTGGTAGTGGTTGATTGGACGAAATGAGGTGCGTAGAAGCGACAAGTTTTGTTAAATTTGCGAACAAAAGGAAAGAAACTTCTTGGAAAATCCAAAATTGGGCATGAAGTAGCATTTACAATGGGTATGACTAGTATGCATGGGGTTCCACTTACAAAGACAACACTCCTCCTTGTTCGTACCAACTCATGACTCACGCCTTACACTAAAGTATGTTTGTGGTTAAAATTTACAACACACTTTTCTTACCGTCTTTGTTCTTTTCTTTGAGTCAACAACCATATGGGAATGTCAGTTACCAAAAGAAAAAAGAAGATGGAAGATTTTATGTAATTTACATTTGAAGTGGAAATATGATGATGAGTTTTATTAAGAATCTTGTTTTGAATTTACGGTTTTGTAAATTGCACTTTTTAAATATAGACCACAATTATCTTATTTCAAAATAGGTTCGCAATACTAATACTAATAGGAGTGTAAGCGAATATGATAACATGTAAATATAATCTTATTCAAATAAATGTAATGATTTTGAATTTTTTTAGTGTTTGGTTTTATCAAATTCGACCAAAACCCGACATTATATGAGTCGAGTAAAGAGTTTTGTGTTTTTTTTGACATGTTACTAGATGATGATGATAATAATAATAATAATATTATTATTATTATTATTATTATAATAAATAAATGGTGCTTAAATGATCACTTGTTTAAGATAATATTTTTTTTATCACTTTTACTCAGTAACGAGTTTAGGGTTTTTAGATTAATAGCATTGTAACAACACAACATTTTTATTTTAAATGTTATCTTATATTAATGTTAATTGTTTGAGATGATAATCACGTAACTAATCAACAAATTTATTATTACAAAAACATCATGTTTCTTCTATCAAAATCATAATAAAAAAAGATAAATTATAACATAAAAATATTAAATTTTAAATTTACTCATGCTAAAAATATTAAAATTATAATATACACAAGTACTAAATTATAATATTTAACTAAAACATAAGTGGACGTAAGTCATATATATATATTTCACTTTGATTCATATAGAGTTAAATGCACTAAAAATATGTGAATGGTTGATAGAGCATATAACCATTGATTAATCCCTAATATGCGTGTAAAAAAAATATTAATTTGTTAAAAATAAGAGTCAATTCTTTAAATAGATTTTAGTACTCTAAATATGACATTTCATAAACTCATTAAGTAAGTATATTTAGTTTTCACTATGTAATTTAAGCAATTTGGATGAGAGAAATGTCGGTGACATTTTGTAACATCCTCTTATCAATACTCTATATTATTAGTTAAAAATTACAAATTTAATTAATTCTACTACTAAATCAAGAGAAATTCGTTAAATAATATGGGAAATCCATAAAATTTTGATTTTTAATGAATTTCAACTAATAATTGAAAAATTTTCAATTTAGAAAGAGGGTTACTAACATTATTTTTTTTAGAGTAAACTATATTAATTTAGAAGTCTCAAATCAAATAATCTACGAAAATTAAGCGAAAAAGTCTAATGCTTTCGGCAAAAATTGATATGTGAATATAAACACCAAACAGTGAAAATGTGTATACCTCAAACACCATGGGGAGATTCATGGAATTTAGGCGAAAATGTGTATATTTTCAGACAGGTAAATATACCTCAAAAAACTGTATCATATAAAAATATCTAAACATGTTAGGGTGCTATAACTATTCTTTTAAGGACGTAGGTGGCTAATTTCACAGGTCACAATTTGCCTTGGCAATCCTATATAGAATCAAATTCATGTGTATTGTGTTACTTAGAAACATTTGAAGGTGGTAAAGGAACTTCATCCCATGAAAAAGGTTGCGGCAAAAGGATAAAGTTAAAGGGTTTGAGGTTGATGTGGAAAAAAAGTGTTGGTCCTTTGGAATGTCTCCCTTCCCAAGCTAAGAATCTGAGTCAAAATTTCATTTGAAAAACTGTTTATTTATTTCTGTATTATGATATATGCCTCGTTCACTGATCCCCCAATAATTAATTTGTCCTTTTCTTTTGGTGAAACCTACTCTCTCAAGACTCAATTTCTATTTGCCTTGCACCATAAACAAGTTTGACTTGAGAAGGAATAGATTCGAGTCTGTCTATATATACATATTATTGGATTTGGATAATGATAATCTTCTTTGCTTGCTTAACAGAGTATATCCTATTCCCAGTTGGAAAGAAAAACACACAATCTTGTCTCCATGTTGGATCCAAGTCCTTATATTTTTTCCTCCGCGTTCATGTGCTATTCATTCATTATTTATAATTACAATTATACCGAAAGTTAACTAATTGTATAAACTTTCCAATGCTGAGACTTTATATATTGGGTTATTTGGTTGGAATTACCTCCTAAAGAGTATTTAATTCAAATGGTAAGTATAGTATATACCAATTATTATCCGTGGAATGGTTTCTCCATCAATGGAAGTAAAAGTATGTATTATATTCCTTATTCTTATGCCTAATATATCCATTACTCATATGTTGAGTGCTGATTCATGTAAAGTTTTTGTCGTTGCATATGATTAACATATATTTTTTTAACTTCTGTGAGATTCTGTAGATGGTACCCATTTTTTAATTACTATTTTTAAGGACTAATTGGTCAAAGAAGGCAAGGGGGTCTTGGATTTGTTCCATATATATATGTTTTTCTTTCAGACTTTTTACTAATGATGCATGTCATGGCAGTGATCAAGACTTCTTAAAAACCTACCTATATTAATTTTCGACTGCATACTTTCTGGGAAATTAATAAAGATAATGGTTCTAAGAACATTTAGTCAACGGGTTTGGTTGCATACTTTTGTCTGTTGCATACTTTTGTCTGTCTCGACAATTAGAGTGAATAATTAGGTTAATAATTAGAGTTAATCACTTATACACTGTTAATATAAAAAAAATTTATACTGATAATCAATTATATCTTTTAATTGTGTCATGTCACTGTTAAAAGTAAATATATGTTTATAGTAACATGACACAATTAAAAGATATAATTGGTTGTCAGTGTAAAAAAACTTTACACTGATAGTGTATAAGTGATGAACTCTAATAATTAATACTCATAACTTGTAGCCTTGAAGGAGATAATCACCATCATGTCTAATTTTCAGAACAATATAATCTTTCGTTCTCTTTTTACTCATCTGTATTCTTGGTTACTGATAATACCAGTCAGATTGAATCCATGCTCACATCCTGATCTCTAAGAAAAATCATGGGATTGCATTGTAGGAGAGATTGTTAAATCACCAATAATTTTTATGTTTCTGCCTTCTAAGGAAATCTCTCATTTGTCTTATCATTATACAATTGCCTTGTTTTTTTTTATTTTTATTTTTTTATATGTTTTCCCTCTCTCCCTCAAACGTGAAAGGAAAAAGTAGTTATTATGAAAATTGATGTTCATCAGTTACTCTTCCTCTCCTCTCTGATATTCTTATACATTTTGGGATTTGCTATATATATATTTTTTTTGTATTTCTGTTATATCATGTACATATATGTCCTCAGTTTAAGCTAAGGGTTTCTTAGTGTCAAATAGAAGGTGAAACAATCTTTGCAAGTAATGGTTTAGAGAAGAATAAGATTATTGAAATACCCCAAGGCACAAAGTGAGTTTTCTTTGTCATTTCTAAGCTAGATCTACGAAATGATTGAAATCTCTAGTTGGATAGTTTTCCTCATAGGAATTAATTAGAAAATTTTTATAATTTCACTTAAACTTTTATTTATTTGTGGATTGGTCCCTCCACTCAATTCCAATCCCTAAAGTGACCATCTGTGTAGTGTTTTTCTACTTTTACCCAAAAGAAAAAAAGTAACTAACACTATTTAAAGAAAATTGTTTATTTATATAAAAACTTCATTTATAGCATAAAATATTCCATTTAATACATTTATAGATATAAATAGAATTCCACAAGAAAACAACAGTTTACGGGATATTTAAGGCAGTAACGAGTTGACCAAGGACTAATTAACTGCTCTAAATGATAAAAAAAATGAACACAAGCATATACCCCCAAAGAAAACAAAAGCATATTTTGCCTATGTTTTGTTTTCCCCCTCTTTTGATTCAAAGGTTTTTACAATATAAGGCGTTCACGTGACATATGTGATGTTATCACACGTCCCACATATTTCCCCCGACCTTCCTAGACAAAAGTAATTATACAATATGCATTACATGACTGTTATAATTATGACTAACTTTTTATTATATTTTCCTTTCCTTTATTATTATTATTATTGTATTCCTTTGTTGTTTTGCCCCCTTCCTTCGCCACTGGGTTTTCCTGGTGAGCTGTATTGTTTCATGAAAATTACAGCTGACATTGAGACAATCTAATGTTAGCTAAATTCTAACCAAGAGGGAGTCTCATTGGTCACATCCTGTTAACAATTATTTTCTAACTATGGTTTTACTGTAACTTTTTTCAAGTAATAAATACTAGTACTCTAGTAGCATCAGTCATAATAACTGTCCATTCTCTCTTCCAAATTGAGTAATCCATGTGTACATATGTGCTTAAGCATTAAGAATTATTAAGAGATTGTATATACCAAATAAGTAAATAAAATGATCCGTTATTTCTAATTATGATGTATACCGAATTTTCCATTAATGAAGAGTCTACTTATATAACAAGTTCCCAAACATGAGGAGCCTGAAAGAGTTAAGAGGACAAGTGTATTATTTGAAAAAAAAGAAGAGGTAAATAGCTAAAGAGAAGGGTTGGAGCTTTATGTTCCGTGGAAAAATGCTTGCATTAATTTGTGTTGGTGAAGCATAAATGGTGATGACCCACATCTCACAAACCCTGTGTGTCCCAATAACTTTTGAACTCTCATCTCTCACCTTTAGATAACTGCCACGTGATTTCAGGTTCCACATTGCCCCTGTTATGTTTGAACTCCCTCATCATCCTTCATCAATCATCAAATTAAAAATGGATTAAAAAGTGCTTTCTCGGTTTTCCTGAAAGAACAACCTTTATGCTTTTGTCCATTTCTGCACTGCTAAAAATTGTTTCAAAATTGAACAAGAAAAGAAAGAAGCTTCTCTTGACAACAAGTTATTCCTCACTCATTCTCCTTCAATAAGGACACACCCAATGAATCTTCTTCTTCTGTTGTTGTTGCCTATTTGGGTGCTAAGCATTTCTCTTTCCTCACCAATTCTTCATGCTGCAAATGCACAAGCTGAATCTCCAGGTACTCTACCAACGATTCCTTTCTTTATTTTTAGCCTTTTTTTGAGTTTCTACTAGCTCCATGCTTGTTAGTGCCTTTTTTTTTCTCTTTTTTTTCTTGGAGCTAGCATTGATTCTAAACACTACAAAATTCGGAACTTGAAACCCCAAACTACAAGACCTCACTGTACTGTTTCTACTTCCTATTTTCTCTCTCATGAATTTTCCTTGAATTATGGTCCGTGTGATTATTTTTTTGATATACGCAAATGTGGTTTCTGAAAAATGCAATCTTGAAATTAAAGGATGATAAGTTTTGGATTGTTTGGTACTTGAGTCCTTGAAAAATCATAAATCCTTCATTGGTAGTGGTAAATTCTGATCAAATAAAATTGTTTCCTCAGTTTTCTCTCTTGGCGTAACTTTGGATTAACATTTGTAAAATTGATTTTTTATATCTAAAATCACGTTAACTGATATTTTAACATGGACGATTGGACTTGAATCCAAACACACTATAATGGACATTAACATGTTACTTCTGACTTTGGAGATCTCCCTACCAACTTGCTCATATTAGATTCAGTTCCATGAGTTGTAATCCTTCATCAACATTTTATTTGATGTGAATTCTTATATAAGTTCAATATATGCTGCTTAATGAGTTGTAGTGTTGCCTTATGTTGAACAGGAATTCAGGAGGTTAACATAGTGCACCACCAGAATTTGAATAAGAGAATTCTAATCGCACTAATTGCTTGTTCTGCTCTTCTGGGTGGAGTCTTCCTATTCTTATTATATGTGTGTTTCCGTCGACATCAAAACTTAATATGCTCCAGTAGTAAAAGCCAAGAAACCATTGGTAGGACTATTTTCTCTCGTGAAACTTTTCTTTAGGTTTTCTTTTTTGCTTGTGCACAGAGGTAAGCACAGAAAATTCCTTTTCAAGTTCGTATTCATTTATTTATTGAACTTGTAGAGGATGCAAAAGGGGAAGCATTAAGCTCGGTTAATGCAAAACTTAACTACTCTAGGATGGCAGATAAGAAGAGTTCAGTTGCTATTTTTGACTATCAGCTGTTAGAGGCTGCAACAAACAGCTTTAGCACAAGTAATATTATGAGAGAGAGTGGTTCTAGAATTGTTTACAGAGCTCGTTTTGATGAACATTTCCAAGCAGCTGTGAAGAAAGCAGATAGTGATGCTGATAGAGAATTTGAGGTGATGGACCTTAGAATTAGATTTGAGTATGTATTTTCCGGGATATGATATTTCACTTTACTGAATTCGCCTTTAGTTATTGCCCTAAATTGCAGAATGAAGTGAGTTGGTTGAGCAAGATACGGCATCAGAATATCATAAAACTTATGGGCTATTGTATTCATGGTGAATCGAGGTTTCTTGTTTATGAATTGATGGAGAATGGATCTCTGGAAACTCAATTGCATGGTACATTTTTCATTAATGTTGATCAAGAAAAGAAAATAAAAAAATCTTATATTGGGAACTTAATCATCACATGTTGCTCATTGGTATCAACAATTGCAGGGCCTAATCGGGGTTCATCTTTAACTTGGCATCTCAGGTTAAAAATTGCTGTTGATGTTGCCAGGTGAGTTTATGATGCACATTCTACTTGACTCTAATTTAATGTCCCTTGTCTTACCTATGTTGTCTAATGCATATTCCGTCTGTTAGAGCATTAGAATATCTCCACGAGCACTCCAATCCTCCTGTGGTTCATAGAGACCTAAAATCTTCTAATGTTCTTCTGGATTCTAACTTTAATGCCAAGGTTAGATTGTGCTTGACCTATGAATCTTACCTGTTGTCAATTAGTTAATTATATGATTCACTTTCCTTTATTGACTTTTTTTGATTCAGTTATCAGATTTTGGATTTGCTATGGTTTCTGGAATGCAACACAAGAACATGAAGATGTCAGGAACTTTAGGATATGTGGCCCCCGAGTACATATCACATGGTATACAAGAATATTTATCATCATAAAAAGGCATAACTGCCGTTCCTTGCTTGAACCAAGTAGTTGTAGTTGTAATATTAATCCTTCCTTAGAAACATTACTTCCGTGCACCCTTTCAAGTTTCAACCTTTTGTTGAGGTGCTTGACTGCTCCTCCAGTTCGATTACTTCACTTTTCTTTTGAAAGTCTTTTCTTCCTAAGTTTCTACATAATTCTTTTCCTGCATTTGTCAATTGATTGTTGACATTGCTAAGTACTCTCATAAATAAGCATTTGTCTAGCCTTAGAAAACTTTGTTAGAACCCAATATAAGAAAAATTGGTAGATCCTAATGTTGTCAATTGATTCATGTAGCTGACTGAGCCAGGTGGGAATATTTTTTATTGTTATATAAGTACTGGCTTATTTTTTGGGGAAAAGTAGGGGATATTAGTGAATTGATTACCATTGTAATAACTTCAAGCTGATCAGAACTATGGACCTTGATCTTTTTCTTTTTTTCATATTCCTTCAAAATGAATACAAGTAAATAACAATAGTCAGCTTTTCAGGTAAATTAACTGACAAGAGTGATGTCTATGCTTTTGGGGTTGTTCTTCTGGAACTTCTAACGGGGAAAAAACCCATGGAGAACATGTCCACGGATCAATATGAATCCCTTGTATCATGGGTATGTTTTGTTTCATGCCTTGTCAATGGAGAAATCTGTGAAAACTCCAGTTCTGCTTAACTTGATGGTTAAACCTTTCAACTTGCAGGCCATGCCCCAGCTAACTGACAGATCAAAGCTTCCAAGTATTCTGGATCCTGTTATCAGAAACACAATGGATTTGAAGCATTTATATCAGGTTCATTGAATATCATCGCTGTAATCACCAATTTTTCTGCTTAGTGATAAGTGCTACATCTTAATAAGTTCATGAGTTTATGTTAACATTGTACAGGTTGCTGCAGTGGCTGTACTCTGCGTGCAAGCAGAACCAAGTTATAGGCCATTAATAACAGATGTGTTGCACTCTCTCATCCCTTTGGTACCCGTTGAGCTTGGAGGGTCACTAAGAGTTACAGAACCAATCAGCTCAGACAACTCTCAATGATGTTGGACAATTGCGTTTTCATTTTTCAACTATGGTATTTGTGCACTCTTTTAACATTTATTATTATTATTATAATTATAATTATTACAAAGAGGAATATACAATTGTAATTATTCATGATTGCGATTAGGTTCTTCTTTTAGTCGTAAATCATGGTGATCTTACCATCTTTACAAGTTATGAGGACACTATAGGATTAAATTTTTGTGGCCGTCTAACTGAAAGATGCTTTTTGTGAGTTGTGTTGCGGGAGTATTAAGGACCAATGAAACTGTCAATATATGAATCATTAATCTTAAGAAGAAAAAAAGAACTAACATATATATGGGCTTCTCATTAAGCTTGACTTCGGTTCTAGTCTTCTATCTGCCATTTGAACATGAAGAACGAACTATACCTTATTGTATACTGTCGAGAAATAATCAAAGTTTTACATTGTTAGAATAAAACGATGTGTATGAGTTTAATCACACAAATATCTCTATTGGTAAAAGATTTTTTAAGAGATAATTAAAATTAAAATCATGAAGACTTAAGTTTAAAGTGAATAATATATTACTAATATATAGATGTATGTGTGAGAGCCTCCAATATACAACAAATAACATTAGGGTCAATGAAAGGACGGTGCAAGTTTCAATATTGGGACACATGAAAATATATGTGTGAGAACACTCGGAACACAATATATATTCTATTCAAATCAACTCACCCTATTCCTTACACTTATTTTGTTTTAGAAGAATGAAGTTTTTCACCATTTGAACCAACAAATATTCTTATTTCTATGGATTAATGAAGACTTAGGGTATGTATGTATGTGTATATATATATATATATATATATATATATAGAGGTTATAATTATAGCGGTATAATTTTTACTAAGTGTTACACCACTCAATAATTTTATATTAAATGTGAATTTTGTAAATCCAACCATTAGATTAAAAGATCATATCACTTTATAGGTGTATATCAAATTTTGTTAAAATTGAACCACAATTTGAAGGTGATCAAAGTGTTCATATTTTAATATATTTTGAAATGAATATATTATGTCAATTTTGTTTTATAAAAATGAAATATCAAATCATCTTGGATTAATATAAAATTTTGTATATATGATCTAAGAGATATGAACTTTCAATTTAACGGTTGGATTTATAAAATTCACATTTAATATAGAGTTATTGAGTGGTGTAATACTTGGTAAAAGTTACACTTATAACCCCCCTCATATATATATATATATATATATAATATTTCTCACAACATTCTCTCACTTGATAATTGAGAAAAAAACCTTGAAGATGGGAATCCTTCAAAGTTGCAAGGATCAAACTCACAACTTGATGTATATTGTGACTTTTTCATTGGGATGCTAGGATGTTGGTAAGTTAAAACAATATTGTATTAGTTGATCCATTTGATCCTTACTAACATGTACACGTTCTTTTAATCAGGGGTATTTGAAATTGAAACATAGCCGATTGTGCATTTTGTCTAACAGGAAGCAATTTGATAAGAACAGGGCACCCAAATAAAAAAAAATTGTTCAAGTGAAACTCATGGAAAACAAGAACGGGCTAGAAAACAGAGATATATCACTTGACTTTGTTTTTTATGTATCCACTACATTTCTCGAGATTCACGATTGAGTGCTTGGTACCATAAATTAACCCGCACGCTTGCTTAATCATTGGTTTGGCTTTGACAAATATAAACACCACGAAGAATATAAATTTCCTCCAACCATCTTCCTAAGAATCTCATGTAGCTTCGTAATCATCAAATTCAACGAGTTTAGTCACTTTCCCGACAAACAATTGCTTACTCAGCTTAAGCATATGCGTTATAAGTTCTAAATGGATCTGGTTAGGATTTTGTCAATAATGTTCATTTGACATAGATTGTCTGAATTGGCCACGAAAAACTTAGTCACTGCCATCGTTGATATTTCTCGTTCCAAGCCAAATCTCCAACAAATACATAAATCTTAACGTATAGACCATTTATCATGATTCCATAATCGTAACTTACGTTATCTCCTGATTATGTGCATGCATGCTTGACTGAACTTTTTCAAAAACACTTTTAAGAGAGAAAAATAAGAAAAAAAAAATGAAATAAAATTTCTCACAAATTAAAATTAACTTATACATAAACTAATTTGTAAAAAAGAAAAATTAACTATAAATTCTTTAAAAATTTATTTTTAAACTTGTGCATAAGTTAATTTTAATTTATAGAGAAATTAATTTCAATTTTCTTTCCGTAAGTTTATTAGAATTTCTTCACTTGTTTCCCTAATATCTCTCGCAGAAAAGTTTACCTGGTCCCATTACCATTTACACAATTCAGATCATTTCAACTGTGGTACCAGGGTGATATAATGAGATCCAGTAAATGAAAAGTAGGTAGTGTGCACACGAAGTAGTGGGGGCATCTTATATGAATCTTGTATAAAGATTCTGCTTGGTAGGGCATAGATGCATTATAGTCAATGAAAACAAGACACAAATTATGCATAATCCAAATTCAATATACTATGCCTCGATAAGAAACAAATGTTTACGATACTACCAATGAATGAGATCAGCAACAGCCAAGACAAGGGAGAAAGTTTACACATTGGATGATGTCTAGGTAAACTGCGTGTCTTGATGTTATTTACTTATTTTCATTTGGACCTTGATGAACAACTTATATACTCTCCCCAATGAGCTTAGAACAGCTTGCTCTCATTTCTACCTCCCTCACCCCACCCTACACTCCCAAGACTAAGGGAAACCATGCCATTATCAAGATGGATTTGTGTTAAAAATTCAAAGACCATGCTTCTGCAGATTGTCCACGCTGGTGGTCACGTTGAACTCCATGATAGACCAGTGACTGCAGCCGAGATCATGTGCCGCTATCCAAGGTGCTACGTTGCATATCCATATGTGTTCAAGCAACCATGGGCAGTTATTGAACCAGACGGCGTGCTCGCGCTTGGACAAAAGTACTATGTAGTACCAAAGAGCACCATACGAAAGCTTCAAAGGCTTTCTCCAAGGCGCTCTCCTTCTCCTGGCCGAGAAATTTCAGTCAGTTCTTTAGATTATGAAATTAGAAACACACAATCCAGCAAAGAGGAAAAAGATGATGGTGTGCTCCCCATTTGCTGTCTCTTCAAGAATAAAGGCAGTAAGCGACATTCCAAGAATAAGAGCAAGAAATCCAAAATCAGATCACATGCAAGAAATTTGAGCCTAAATGATAATCATAAGAATGGTGGTTTATCACATGAAAGTTGTTTTGTGAGCATGTTTAATGGAAGCACGACTAAAGAAAATGTTGGTGATATGACAAAAGAAACAAGAGCTTCATCAAGCAGTGGTCACCTTTGTGATGGCAATACAATAACCAGGAAGAGGACACAAGATTTGACTGGGAATGGATCAAGAAACTCTCCTAAGAAAGTAATTTGGTCTTCTGAGCATTGGCAACCGAGTCTAGAGAGTATCACTGAAGAATGAAATGAATTTGGTGGCAGAGGAAGTCTCTGCAGTTTATGATATCCAACAGTAATGTACTATTTATTTGTTGGTTTTTCAAAACATGCCCTGTATACTTTTAGGTACAATAATGCTCCCTCAGCTGCGTGTTCTGCTGCTTCTTTCTTTCTTCGATGAGGTGCACCATAGCACTCTATAATGTTTCTTGATGCTTCTATTTCAATGATAACCTTGAAGGTGAACCTGAGATAAACATCAACAAGTCACTGAGAATAACAAAAGGAAAATTTATAATTATATTTCTTCAGTTTCATCATGAGGGACAAACAGAAGCAGCAAAATAGTTTAGGAATATCATGCATTTACTATCAATGATTGGATTAGGATTTAGGACAAATATAAGCAGGATAACAGCTCGAAATGGAATAAATATCATGAGCAAGAATGAAAAGAACAAATCTGCATGCTGTTACAATTTCTAAGACGTGCCAACACTCAAAATGCGGCCTATGTACGTAGCCCTCCAGAAACTTTCATTATTAAAATCATACTATTTGCCAATTGAGGCCAATTTAAATAAAATTCTCTATAAGTACATGTAGGAAAAGAAAATAAGAGAGAAAAAAAAAAAAGTTTATCAAAAAGCTAAAATTAGCTTATATATAAACTAATTCATAAAACTTTTCTTATATTAGCTTCTCCAAAATATATTTTTCAATTTTTGTATAAACTAATTTAACTTATGAAAAAAAAATTATTCTTCTTTTCTTAGGAGTAATTATAAAGAAATTTATCCAAACATCTCCGTGATATTAGTCATTTAATACAAACACTACTTAAACACCACAATGTAGAAATATTTGTTAGGAGGCCAAGTACGTAATCAAATATCATATAACTTGTAGGCATACATTCTCTTATGACTTGGGCCTTCCTCTTTGCAACATTCAAATATCGGAGGCTTCCAATGGTTGGCAGCACAGATCTCGTACAAATTAGACCTAGCAGTTCCTTTCCTTGCACCTAAAAAATCAAAGGGATTATAATTTTGATAAAGAAATATTTTTGGAAGAAAAAAGTAGAACTAAAGAGACAAAACAAGTCAAAAACCTAAAGAGTTTTTAAAGAACTAACTCAATAATTCAATGATTTTTCTATCCACAAACAACTTGAAGAGCTACCACATTCTAATGAGTAATGACAAAAAGATAGGAAATTTATGTGACCCAAAAAGAACTTAACATCGGCACAAAGATAGAAGCAGCATACTTGAAAGAGAAAACTATCAAACAATGCAAAAGCAATTGTATTTTTTACCTAGTTCTGTCTGAGTTGGAAAGGTTGTGCCGCCACAAGACTGGCTCTCTGTATTAGATAAAGTTGAAGATGCGCCTTCAACGTCAATGTTTCCCAGAGAGGGGTTTTTAACAATCTTTTTACCAGAATCTACCAGCTTCATTCCCAGATTGCCCTGCAAAAGAAAGAACTTGAACCCCCCAATTATCAAGATTCAAGAAAGAAAGAAGAGAAAATGGAATACCCTGGTCTTAATGATTTGGAAAGGGTCGATTGGGGAAGGTGTTTGAGATTGACGGCGTTTGGGTGCGTCGGAGCAATTGTTTTCCATGTTTATTTGTATTGTCCCACCAAACAAACAAGTTTCCACTTTCCAATCATTCCATCCGCCAATTTATAATATCGACTATTTATTTAACATGACATGCCATGACTAGGCTGTATAAGTCTTTCCACTTTCTTTCTCTTCATCCTGCATCTCCTCTCTTTCACCTCCACATCCATCACAAACACACAATTCACAAAAATCATCATATACCATGGAAAAATATAATTAATATATTCATAAATAAAATTATTTCACGATATTTTTTACTTTTTACCCATGAATTACATTAAAAAATATTTTTATTTTTTTTTATTGGTCCACTAATCATATGATATGATGTATTGGTTCATGATAGAAATCGCTTGTTTAACATATCCTAAATATTAATATATTTGTTTGTGTCAATTTTTTCTTATTTCTTTATATTGTCATTTAAACTTCAAAATCAATCAATATCTCATTTTTTATTTCATAATCATCTTTATATATTTAACTTCCTTTTTAAATTTATGCATAACTTTCTTTTTTTTATTTGTTTGTCCATTTTCTTTCGTCATTTTATTTGTATAAGAGGAAGAGAAATCTTCAAAGAATAAAGAAACTGTCATAAAAACAAAATATGATTTATTAAAGAAGGCAAAAAAATTATCATCAAAACAAGATATTATCTTAGTCTAAAAAATCCCGAAACATTAACTAATAAAATAGAGGATAATTAAAGAGACAATAGATGTTAACTCTATTTTTTCATTTTTCTTCATTTTTTCTTATGCTACAAGAGAGGAAAATTGAAGGGATAATAGATATTATTGTTTTTCCTCTAATTTTTCATTTTCCTTTATTTTTAACTCTAAATCACAATTCTTATCTTATGTTACAATCCTCATAAAAATTAATGCTAATTTTCATTATTTCTATTATTTAAAAAAAATTGTTAAAAATAATATTTATTCACTCTTTTCATGAATACTTTAAACTACAATTCTCATTATTATCATAATCTTAATCTTTCTCATAGTTAAGTGATATTAGTTTTCATTCTTTTTGTAAATAATCTAAATTGGAATTTTTATCTTTATAATTCTCATAAGAAATTAAAGGTAATTTTTCTTTATTTTATTATTTTAAAAAATTAAATTTGTGAAAGATGATATTATTTATTCTTTCTAGTTAATTATTTTTATCTATTGTTTCAACCATCATTAAAAAAAAAAAAAATCTTAGCATTAAATGAAAAGGAGGAATGAATCATTGTTTAGTATCCATATTTGTTTACTGTATTGCAAAAATAATTATTAATATGTTGACAAATTATTTATATATTTTTTATATGTGAAATATGTACTGTTTTTTTTAAGTAGTATATTAAAACTTATCATTTGAAATTTATGATGAAATTATAATTTTTTTTTTATTTTAATCTTTTTTATCTAACATATTTGTAACAAATTTAAACTAATTTTACAATTAAGTACAATCAATCATGCTTAATTAATTTAATAAAATTGATTACAAGAACAATAATTATATTGTAATTGATATTAAATTCACACTTAATAATAATTAATTATAAATATAAATTCTAAAAAAATATTAGAAAAATAACAGTTATATGGTAACTGATATTGAATTCACATTTAATGATAATTAATTATAAATTCAAATTTTATAATTAGACGTTTAAAAATCATTATCTAATGTCTTTTAATTATAATTAATTCTACTTTTATTAGATGGTATAATATGTAATATTTATTTCACACCTACTTTTAATTAATTTTATCAGTAATCATTAATTGTACATAATTATATTATTATAAATAATTGTTTAAATTCAAAGATATATATCAACTTAGTTATATTTAATTAAAAAAAATCGATTTCAATTAGTTAAATTATACCACTATATTATTTAACCTAAAATCCAATTTTTTAATATTTTTTAATTATATTTAATTTGAAAAATCATATACACCAACAAATAATTAGTGATTATATTAATAAATTATATATTTTACAATTGTGAATTATATTTTTTTAAGTATTATATTAAAACAAATAATTTGAAATTCGTGGTAGAATTATAGTATTTTTATCACTTTATTTTTTTTATCATACATTTTTTAAAAAATTCAAACTAATTTTATATACTTAATTATAATCATTCACACTTAGTTCAAAAAAATTGATTACAAAAATAGCATTTATATTGTAATAGATATTGAATTCATATGATAACTAATTATAAATACAAATTTTACAATTAGATGTCTAAAAAGAATTATTTAATGTCTTTTAATTATAATTAATTATATTTTTATTAGACGATATAGTATGTGATATTTATTTCACACCTAATTTTAATTAATGTTATCAACAATCATTAATTGTATATAATTATATTATTCTAATTAATTGTCTAAATTCAAAGATATAAATCAACTTAATTATGTTTAATTAAAAAAAGTTCAATTTATGGATTTGTATGTTATGAATATTAAAAATCATAATACTTTTATGTTTATAATGACTAATAAGAAGAAGAAAAAAAATTGTACGTCTGTGAAAAAAATGTGGATTATTTTTAAATAGATGAACAATTTTTTTAGTAAAAGGAGCAGTTTTTTTTTATGCATGCTTTTTCCCCTTTGTATTTCATCCTTAATATATATATATATATATATATATAAAAAAAAAAGACACTCAGTGTCTTTGTGAAAAAAATGAAAAATATCGTAGGCAGTTATTTTTAAATGGATGAATACTTTTTTTTTTCTTCAGTAAAACAATGGTTGAGCATTTTTTTTATACATGTCTTTTTCTATTTCATCTTTAACATATATATTAGTAAATTAAAAATTAAAATATAAAATAAAAATATAATTGACTTTCTAAAGGTAGACACCAAAAAAGTTTATCTCTTTTATTTATTGTTATAAATATGATATTTATATGCTCTCACTTAAAATCAAAACTAATATAATTTTATTATAATTGATAGTTTATAATAATTGGTTATATGATAAAATTATAACACTATTACTTTTCTACCTTATTCATTCTTATTTTTTCTACATATTTTACAAAGGATAAATTCAAACTAATTTTTACATATTTAAGTATAATAATTTACGCTTAATTTAATAAAGTTAATTACAATAATAATTTTTATATTACAATTTATATTAAGTTAAAACCTAGTTTTAATCAATTAAAAAACCATAATTAAATTTCAATCAATTTAATAATATATATAACTGTTTATTTCATAATATAACACACTCATATTAAAAATAGCGTTGTTTCATGTCTTAAAACTACTAATAAAAATTGCTTAAAAAAAACTACTAATAAAAAAAACATGTTTAAAAAAATGTTCCAAAAAATATAAAATATCTACAAAAGAAATATAATGTTGATAATTATGCTAACAAGATTAAATGTTATTTTAAATATTATTTCAATGCAAAAATAAATAAATAAAAATTATAAAAAAAATAATTATTGATAGAATAAATTATATTTAAATTTACACATAAAATTATAAAATTATATATTTGATATACGTTTAATTAGATAAAATTGAAATAACTCGCTTATGTCTAATTTGATATAATAACTTATTAACAGAATAAAGGGGATGCTAATAGGAAAAAGTGTTGATAACAGAATAAGCATTCACCAAAAAAAAGTAAAATAATAGCATATTAACCATTGAAAAAAATAAAATAAAATAATAACAGAATAAGCAAGACCTCTTGAAAGCCAAACGAGTCAGTGAACAGATAACCGTGTTGGCTCATGCTAAGAGATTTATCAGGCACCAAGTGTTGGTTTATGATAAATATATTTTTTTATGGTTAAATAAAATTTATATTTCATCCTTTTCATTTCTTCAATGGTTTAATATTTAATGCACATAAATTAATATTTTTAAATAGATATAAATTTAGATTAACTTTTTATTTAATTCTTATTAATAAAATATTAATATAAGTGTACTCATTGATTGTACGTATGGTCCACTTTCTCTAGTAAATATAAGTGAATAGTTGATGAAGAAAATGTTTATTAATTTACATTTTAAGCAAAGAGCTTCAAATTCCTCCTTTAATAAGAGAACTTTAAGGTTATTAAAGTATTAAAAAAATAATTAATTTTTTTAACATAATAACTATAAAATACAAATTAAATTCATTTAATTAATGAAATTATTTTTATTAAAAAAATTTAAAAAGCAAATGCATTTACAATTTTTATTTTTAAAATTGATTTGATTAATAAAATGTTATTTTACTTGTAGTTTGTAAATATCTCGGTAAGTCTAACATTAATATAAATTTTTTGAATATTGATTAAAAAAAATATCTAGTTTATCTTAAAATTTTGAATATTAATCGGTAACAATTTACAATTACTTGTTTGTTAAGGTAATTTAAGCAATCTTCACTAGAGAAGCACTATGGTAACAAATAACTTGATGTTATTTTTGTTGGTAATGATTATCATTTTTATATATAAAACGAAAAAAAAAAAACGGTTTAAAATATAATACCCTTAAAAAAGTGAATCTTATACTGGCACTACTTGGGAGATAGGATACCGTAAGGGAGAGAAAAAGTGAAGACAAAGAAATCTTCATTGATTGGAAATGAATGAAACAATGCTAGTGCTAACACAAATTGATGATAACATCGGCAAAAACAAAACTGCTTCCAACCATGGACTGTGTAGCACAATCTCGAAGTGTTGGATTATTCTAGTGTTGGCTTATTCTAATTAAATTGATGATAACATCGGCAAAAAACATGAAGAACTGCTCCCCAACCATGGACTGTGTGGCACGGTCTCGAAGTGTTGGATTATTCTAGGACCCTTTCATGCTTCAAAATCCAAATGAGATTTGAGACGAAAAGGGCTACATATTAAATTCTCTATTTTCTTTTTCTATTTTCTCTTCTAACTCTATCTTCCAACAATCACTCTCACACGGTGTAGTGCTGCTGAATAGTCTCAATATCAAGTCCCTTTAGTTTCACCACAGACTCAACATGTCCCTTCAATGTGTGAAGCTCCCTTAGTCTTGCAACTTCAGCACGCTTCCTGGCTTGTTCTGCAAGTTCAGAAAGTTCCCTATAGTTGTTCTTTTCATTCAATATTTGCTCAGTTTCAGGAGGATTCAAGCCATGCAATGTGCGTTGAGCTGCAGCCCATTGTGCTTCTCTCTCTCCCTTTCCATAGTCTGTCTTTGTGGTGAAAGCAACCTGCATCACACCACACAAAACAACACAGTCAGAGGGAACCACATATTTGATCACATTCACATCATAACATTGAGATTAAGCCGTTAATTACCCTGTTCTCAGTTATATTGTTCCATGCCTTGCCAGTCAATGCATATCGGATGATGAACTTGAGTATATCCAACGGAATGTAGAAAACAATGCTGTAGAGCCAGATGACACCAGCCCAGCCCCATCCAATTCCTTTAATTTTTGCAAAGCCCCAGTTTGCATATACAGCTATGAGTGTGGCAATCTGAGAAATAGTCCATAAAACACAAATGTTAATACATGCAAGATCAGAAAATGAAACCAAACCCTTTTCATTAAAACTCACCAGCTGTGCAATGAAGAAGGCAACAAGAAGGAAGAGGCCAGGACGTTCAATGAAAGACCAGCTCCTTGACCGTGTGACAAAGATGAGAGCCTGACTCACAATACTCACTTGAAGGTAAACAGCTGCTGTGAGCTCATTGTGGCTGTTCCTGATAGATCTTACGCCAAATTTGTCCTGCCATTTTTTTAAAGTATAGAGAAGTTAAGGTTAAGTTAAGCCAAGGTTATGCAACAAATATTTGATTTTGAAGAAAATATTTTGATCTTACCGAGAAGAAGTTAGATGCATGAGCAGCCCAGAAGAAGACAACAGTCATAATAGCTAGGTAGGCACCAAGCACAACGCCAGTGGCGAAAATCTCTCTTAGCTTCCAGGAATCTGGCACAGGAGATGGCTTCACCCTATCCTTGGAAATAGTCATGATGGTGCCATCATTGAGTACGGCAATGATCAAGACCATGAATGGTGAGAAGTCATACTTCCAGATGAGGGCAATGAGCATGAAGCCCAACACAATTCGGATTGTGATGGAAACAGCATATATGGTGTAGTTCTTCATTCTCTGGAAGATGGCTCTACTTGTCAACACAGCACTCACGATCACACTCAAGCCAGGCTCGGTGAGGACTATGTCAGATGCACCTCGAGCTGCATCGGTCGCATCATCCACAGCAATTCCAATATCTGCTCTTTTGAGGGCAGGAGCATCGTTTACACCATCTCCTGTCATGCCACATATGTGGTTCCTTTCCTGAAGTCTCTTCACAATCTCATATTTGTGCTCTGGATTAATTTCACACCACACCATTCAAAGTTTTAGACTCAAATCAATGAAAGTCAAGTCACGAGTAATATAATTACGCATGTGATTAATTATTACCAGGGAAGACCCCAGCAAAGCCATCAGCCTTCTCAATAAGCTCATCAACTGGAAGGCCAGCAATGGACTCATCCTTGTGCTCACCAAGGAGAGAGGATGAAGGGTACATGTTGCTTCCCATGCCAAGCCTGCGACCAGTTTCCTTCCCAATAGCTAGCTGATCACCAGTGATCATCTTCACGTTAACTCCAAGATTGAGAGCACGCCTTATGGTCTCAGCACTGTCATGCCTTGGTGGGTCAAAAAGTGGCAACAACCCCACAAACTGCCATGGTCCTCCTGCACTCTCCTTGCTCCTTTCTGGCACTTCCTGATGAATCAAACATGCAAACCAATTTGTCACAAAACCATCACTTGAACTCAAGATGGGACATGTCATAAAGAACCACAAGTTCAACTCACTTGTTTGCAAACAGCAAGGGAACGAAGGCCGCGATCAGCGAATTTGTCAATGATGGAAAGAGCCTTCTTCTTCACATCTGCCCGAAGGTTGCAAAGCTCAATAATCTGCCAACAAATTCAAAATGGGTTACTTTGTACAGAGAAACAACAAATATGAACTGTGTTGTGCACCACTTACCTGCTCTGGTGCTCCTTTGCTTACTCGATGCCAGTTACCCTCAGCATCAACATATGTTATGGCTGTGCGCTTGTCCACTGGATTAAAGGGCAGGAAATGCACCTCTGTAATGCCATCTCTTGCCTGTACCAACCAAGACAAATTTGTTATAATCTATCATGATCATCAAAAGTTTCATATGTTTGTATGATTATATAATTTTGGACAAGATAAGTAGTTATTAATTACAAACCTCTTTTGGATCACCCAACATTCCAACAATGCAAGCATCAATAGCATCTTGGTTTTCCACCCTGGAGGCCCTAGCTCCAAGCAAAATTACTGAATCCTTGTCACAATCCCTTGCGAAAACCTGCAATATGGACAAACCGCTTCTTAAAGAGTTCTAAACAACTAATACCATTCTAAATAAGACAAGGATTTGCCTGCCATCATCTTACCTCAACCAAACTCTTGTCCACTGTTAGCTTGTTCAATGTTAGTGTGCCAGTCTTGTCACTACACAAAACATCCATGCCAGCCATTTCCTCAATGGCTGTCATCCTCTTTGTGATAGCACCTTGCTCAGAGAGCCTATGGGAACCAATAGCCATTGTTACTGACAAGACAGTAGGCATGGCAATGGGAATCCCTCCAATGAGTAGCACCAAGAGATTGTCAATTCCACTCCTGTACTTGCGGCGCTGAATTGGATACATGACCACAATCTCTATGATCATTCCCACAGCTATTGAGCAAATACAGAAGTTACCAATGGCTGTCAACACCTGATAGTTAAGTAACCATAAAAATGCACACGAGTGAAGTTCAATTCAGCAAATAGACAAAACAAAAGCAAGAAGGAATAACACTATACTAGACATATGTAATGTTATGTAACTCAATGATGTTACATTACATGCCTTGGATAGATAGAACAAAATTAAAATTTGACAAGAATACCTTTTGGAAATGGCCAACTTGGTTAGTGCTGTCCACTAAATGAGCAGCCTTACCGAAGAAGGTGTGGACCCCAGTAGCGATCACAACAGCCTCAATCTCTCCTTGCTTGACAGTGGAGCCAGAGAAGACTTCATCACCAGGGTTTCTGGTAACAGGCAAGGACTCACCAGTGAGTGCAGACTGATCAATTTTGAGGGCATCTCCATCCAAAAGACGAGCATCAGCTGGGATGATATCTCCCAATTTCACACTGATTATATCTCCTGGCACCAGTATAGCAGCATCCTGCTCTGCCCACCTTCCATCTCTCAGAACCTGCAAATCATCAAACACCACAAATGCATTATTGCATGTCACACTTGTTACAATCAATAATACTCATGTTGTGACTTTGCGAGTAGTTAACATACCTTTGTTTTGGGAGCAAGGCCTGCCATAAGGGCTGCAGCAGCGTTGCCTGCATTATTTTCTTCAATAAAACTAATTGTTGAGTTGATAATTAACAAGACTGTGATTCCCACAAAGTCTTGCCAATCCGGGGGCTCACCCTGTATGTTTCAAGAGATAATGAGAATGCCAAATTAAAGCAAAATGTTATATATTATTTCAAACTATGCCAGGAGGTAGGTAATACTATACCCCTCCGTTTGCCAATGCAATGGCCATGATAGCAGCGGCTTCCATGACCCATGAGAGGGGGGTCCACATAAAACCCAAGAATTTGAGAAGCTTGCTTTCCTGATAGAAACAATAACGTTTTGCAAAAGTTAGTAAACATTGAATGTAATGTTATAGAGTATTTAGTGAGTGACTCAAATAGGAATTCTAGAATGAAATGAATGAATTGATGATTGCCTTTTTTTCTTCCAACTTGTTGGGTCCAAAAACTTGTAACCTTTTGGTGCCTTCATCATTTGTGAGGCCTTCCTTGGAACAATTCAACTCTCGGAACACTTCATCAACGGGTATCCTCTCCTGGAAGGCGAAAACAAACACATTACATTGTGATAACAAAAATGTAACAAGACATGCACACGTGAAAAGGAAAGAGAAAACTAACGAGGTCAACAGCCTCCTTCTTGATATCTTCGAGACCTCCCATGTTATTGTTTTATTATTGTTATTATACAAAGTTGCTGAGATGATATACAAAGAGAGAAAAGAGAGAAGAAAAGAAGTTAGTTTGAGAAAAGCGTGAAAGCATGTGTGTATTTATATTAGGACAAGAATTATAAGATGAGTGATCATTCACCATTCTCTCACACTTGGGGCTAAGAGTGCGTGTCTGAGTGAGAGTTTCTCCTGTTAACGTTACTCTAAAATCACTCATTCCCACTCGTTCACAAACAAACTCGGTCTCTTCTTTTTCTTTCATTTTTTTTTTAACTTTTATATCTTACCAATTCAAATATAAAAAAATGGAAAACTAAAATAGTAGTAAATTAATTAGCGAGACTCGTGGTGTTTCTTTTGACCCTGGTCATGCGCTTCGCACGTGTCAATTCATTCCCTTCGATATGAATATGATAATAGCATATAGTATTATTTTCTACACTCTATAATTGAAAAACGCCACGTGCATGATAATATGCCAAATTGGTAATCCCATTCATAACGTGATTGCATTCAATGCACGATGCATGCACTAGCGTACGTGGTCAAATCATATTGTATTCATGGACGTTGCAGGTTGAGTCCAATATAGGCTCCGACCCAATGATATGATATGAAACTCGGCCCAAATGCCTGAGAACAACTTTCTAGCATAAGCAGTTAAAAGCATGTTTTTCACTTTTCAGAAATATATCACACTAATTGCACATGAGATCATTTGCATTTGAGGCTTTCCTTTTTGTAAAATATTAAAATAATTTCTCCTAAGTGAAGGATAGGAAAGTATGGAGAAACCTACATGAGCGTTGAACGAATTTATTAGTATGTGAAAATATAATTTTTTTTTTTTTTTTATGAATATGGTTCATGGAATGTCTTAAAATTGACAATCAAAAAACTAATATATATTCGTAAAATTTTTATTGACTAAACATTATTATAACATAGATGGGAATTAAATCATGTTGACTCCCATGTGTCATAGAACATATCTTTCAACAATTAGGCCAAGAGATTTGGTTTATGTGAAAATATAATTTGAATATATAAAAATTATGCTAATTAAGAAATAAAGTTTTTGGTAGTTTATAATTTATTATAAGCAATTCATTGTAAATTTTATTTTTAAAATATTATGTGTATTTTTTTTAACAAAATTAGTCATGTTAATTGTCAATTTTTATGATGTTATTATTAAAATAAAATATATCAAATATTATAATTTATAAAATATTTCTTTATAGACTATATATCTCATATTTATTAATAATTAAAAAATAATAAATAAATAAAAACAATTAACCTAACTATATAATTGTTGAAGGTATAAGTCTAGTTTTATAGCATATAATTATAGCAGTACTGTGAGCGATTTCATGTTAATATGATCAATATGAAAATTTGCCCGATCAAACATTTTTATTTTTACTTTATTTTTGCCAATGAGTTTTGAATATAAAAGTAATAAATTATAATATATATACCAATAAAAAATAATTTCAATTTTTTTTTGTATAAATACAAATGTTTGTCTCGTTTAAAATTGAAGATATATGTTGCTTTGGTTATATATCATAGTTAAATTCAATTAGTATTATATGAAAATGAATAAATGAATAATTTTATGTTTCAACAATACACTGTAACATTAGACTTACATGTTATTAAATGTAGAGAAAATGCATTATAGAATATTTATCATGAACATAAAATTTAGTTATAATAAATATTGTTGTACTCAACAATTCAATATTGAATATGAAAACCCTTTATCATTTGTTATCATTTCTAATTGAAATGAATAAGACTGAATGAAATAAATAATTTGTAATGAGTTTAATTTTAAATTATATTACCAAGATAAATAAAAATATTTGAAAATTTTTATATCACTAAGATAAAATACAATATTATATGATTTATAAGAATTAAATTTCTATGCATTGGTAATATAATTTATTTTTTTACATTATTAACCAATCATAAATAATGATAAATATAACATTTAAGGTAATTATTTAAAAACTCGACGAAGATACCTTATATACTAAGTTGTACTTGGATCACAATGTAAAAACGTTTCCCCATACTTATACTATTAAAATCTACAAGGCATGGAATAGTATATAAACACATACTATGGAATTTATTTAGTCAGTACAAACTTTAATATTTTGTATTGTGATTTCATTTTTGAATTCTAGATTAACCATAAATTAGAGTTATTTTAATTTTTCATCCTTAATTATTAATTAAAATACAATATATATTCAGAGAGAATCAATCTAGTCGAGTTTAGAAGTAAGAGCTACAGGGGTGATATAAATGCATCCTCAATAGCTCAACAAAAAATAAAATTGTTTGGTTCCAATGAACCAAAAAGTCAAAAACTCGGAGTAGGACTAGATCTTTAGGATAGTTTGTTCACATAAAAATATGCAAGTCTTCTTAGCATGACTCGCCGCATTAAACATTATTTTGATTAATTTAAGTGTACTCATCATAATTATTTTGACTCTCGTTACAGTTTTAACTAGAATAGTTTTTTTCATTTGTCACTATCATAGTATCATATTGTTCGAAGAACTCATATAATTCAGGCCAAACCGATTGAAGGGCTATTGCTTAGCATCTTAATAGCTTAGACTGACTAAGATATGACCTTGATTTATGCTACCATTTTCCTTTTATTTGGGGAAGAGAAGTTAAGGCCAAACATCCCATCAAAGATATTATCATTCAGCTTCACCGAAAATATATATATATATATATATATATATATATATATATAGTTTTCATAGTCATGTCATTAAGATTATCAAATTTGTGCTTTTATACGGTTGTGGGAGACAAAATCAATTACCAGATAAATAAATAATCATTAGGCATGAGGTTATAATAGTGGAATTTTTTGTCCCACCCACCTTCACAGAGATTTTAATTTACTAAAGTTAGATCAACTTGTAGTAGTGAAAAATGATGAAGCAGAAAATTTTAAGATTATAACAGCCACAAAAAACAGTAAACCCATTTTTGTTTACATAATTACATTAAACATAAACAAACAGAATCAACTTTGTCTGGGTCTCCAAAGTCTTAAACCTCAAAATTTTAACTGTTTTTTTTCCCTCCCTTGTTTTGGTTTTGTAGCTTCATGTTCAAATTTTGTACTTGATAAATTAGTCTGGTAAATTATACATTTATACTTGAGGAAAATAAAAGGTATAAGATGATCTCAAATGGCTAGAAAATATGCATTATTTTATCCCAATGGATAATCAGTAGTACCTGCAATGTTTGACACTATTTTCTCTGTAGTGAGTACTGTTCCTGTGCAAGCAGAAGAATCATATTATGACTTTGGCATGATTACCATTTAAAGGGACATACTGGTCCGCATTGTTGGTTACAAACATTGTCTTGATTGTAAGCATGGAGGACAATCTCCATGCACATGCTTAAAGTTGCCGGCTGAAGAATTAATTGCATCACAAAAGTGACAGATAAGGCCCAATTTGTGTTTTTCTTCTGAAAAAACAAAAGTGACCATGGAAATGTGGAAGATATTGTTTATTGATTCATTTGCATCATGTGAACTTTTAAGTCTAGGCTACGGTATCAGTATCACCAAGAGAAATGTTCTCGCGGTAGATTAAAATTGTAATATTTTTATATGAAAATAATGGTAAGAAAAACAGTAAACCATGTTGAGATTTGATAAAGTGATAGAGAAGAGAGTGAGAGATTGTGGTTACAATTACATCACCTCAATAATATAATGTTTTATACTTAATTAGTCATTGATTTTGCAATTGACGTGACTGCAATATTCTGATCAGCTCAATTCTCCACTTGACGTTGTTAAATACATGTATTTTCTTTATCTTGTTCGCTCTAGTCACTTTACCGAAAGAAATCAGACCTTATGAAGTGAAAAACTATATTTTATGCTCAACTAGCTATATTTCGAGTAAGATTATATATCTTGTTTGTAAGTTGTGTGTGTGAAACAAAAGAAAAAAGTACATATTTTAAATTTTTGTGAATTGTGGACACACAAATAATGCAATAAAATTATGATATATTTGATATTTGATAAGCAATTTTATTGTGATGAGAGAGAATATAATAAGGGGGCTCATGAAATCCGGGAAAAAAAAAAAAAAGGAGCAGTGTATGCGGATGGTGAATGGATATGTCTTGTGAATAGTGAAAAAAGACGCGTATGTGGGTCAAAAGTTGTGCTTTTACAGAAAACAAAGGATCAGAGATGGAAGGATAGTTCAAAAGAGAATAGAAAAGTGCGTCGAGTATGTTATCAAGTTGAAAAAGTAAGTGGGAAAACAATAAGAATGTTTTTTGTTAAACCAGTGATGCTCATCTCTATCACTTCAATTTGGCTTCCTTTTTTGTCATTCATATTTGGCAGTATTTGTAGACATTTCATTTCTTCCACACACACCAAAGAATTGACTTTCTGTTTCGACTGAGTTTCATAATCTCCCCTCAGATGCAATGCAATGCTGCTTGTTCTGTTTCCATCACTCTTCTAATCATGGTTTATGGTGCTTGTTACTATCCACTCCACCGCCTGCTACTGCCAAAATTGTGGCCTTCTCACAACCATGCACTAACCCTTTGTGAATAATGATTTGTCTTTACCTTCATCATGCAATGGTTCAATTTTGGTTAACAAAAATGAACTTGACTACTAATAACATGATTAGCACCATTTTCTTTCCGTTATTTTTCATGTCTGTCATGCTACATAATCCTTAGTTTTTGGTTTGTAGTTGTACATTGGAGATTAATTTATTTCTAGATTCTAATAAAGTATTTTTCATATACACAGTCAGAAAATCAAAATCAAACTCTGTATTTTAGAAACTCTATGGATCGCATTCATAATCAATAATTTATAATAATGGTTATTAAAGAAATAATAAAAAAAATCTAAGACAGACAGAGGTCCCACATGTATATGTCACTTTAGAAGAATTTTGGGCACCTTTGCATTAGACAGATATAAACAAGAATAGAAGTTGGGAAATTGTAGTCTTTTGATGTTACCAATATACTATATATCTCTATAACATAGTCGACATCATATATGCATGCGTCGGTTTTTGTATGATTGATGACATTCAGGTTCCACATGCTTGTCCATTAATTGGAGAAGTGAATAAAAGTGATGGTGAATATGGTACTAAAGTCTAAAAGCTCACTATATTTTATTACATGGCGCATTACTAATAGTACCATCCATGGATCCCTTCTGCATTGGCCTATGCTAGCTACTTAGGCCGAGTCAACAGAACTAAGCTCCATTGACCCATAATCAAGAAGCTCTTGTATCATCTGTTCAATGTGATCATCTTCAAGAACTGGTTGAAACTGTTGGTGTTGTTCTGCCACCTCAACTTGCCTTTCTAGCCATTGAAGTTCCTCGTGTCTCTTCTCTGGCCACCTAAACCCCGTGTCAGAACTTGTTCCCGCAATGGCGTTGCTCGAGTTTGATGACCCTTGAGGCTCTTTTGCTGATTGTTTCTGCTTGTTCATTTGAAGGGAGAGTGAGGCCATGTGACACTTGTGTAGCTTCGCGGTTAAAGTGGCTGAGAGGAGCTTGGAAGAAGAAGATTGTGGCTCGTTGGGGTTGTAAGGGAAATTGGTGCGTGCTTTTGGACCACACATTAACCTCGCTGCTTCATCGTACGCTCTAGCAGCATCTTCTGCTGTTTCAAACGTTCCTAGCCATATTCTAGTTTTCCTTAAAAATCAAACATTCAAACAACATTGTTAGTATACAAAATAAATAAATAAAAACAAAGGTTTAACTTTGAAGAAGAAAGAGTGAGAATTACAAAAGAGGGTGGCGAATTTCGGAGACCCAAGAGCCCCAATGCCTCTGGCGGACACCACGATAGCGTTGTTGGGGTCTAGCCATGATGGAGATTGCTTCAAACTTGTTCTTGAAGCGTCTTTGAGAATGTGAAAGTGAAGTGGGCATGGAGAGAGTGGTGGCACCAATTTATATAATCATCTTTTGCGGCTTTCTCCTCTCTGAATCTACATATATGGGTCCACATAATTGTTTCCTTTTCCTAGCGGGGTAATTTTTTAGTTTCACATGTGGGTCAATCTTATTGGATCGGATTAATCCTACCTCTTTTTATGCAACTCATAATTACGATCCCTTGGATTCATTCCTAAATACAGCTATAATTGTGTATTTAAAATTAGACCACAAAAACCCTGTTATTCCGTGCATTCCATGGTATCAAGAGATTCATTCCATGAAATTTTAATGAATGCCAGATTTTCGAATACATGCGTGTGTGTGGTACTGGTGGGTGCATGAGGATAATTGTCCACTGGGAGCAAGAGAATCCATATATTATACTTTTACAAATATTCTCATCATTCTCCTCCTCCATTGGGTATGATATCAAGAGAATGATTGGTTTTAAGTTGGTACGTAGAAATACAATATTAAGAAAAAATACATACAGTTAACTGTGCTTTGACTTGATTTCAGTGTCACATATCTATTTGCGTGCACAAGAGTTATGTTCCAAAAATTGAATATATGCAATATGATATGGTATGAATAAGACAGACAATGATGATGGCTAAAATAAGGAGTATAGCTAGGTAGGTACTTTAATAATAACCTTCACAAGTGGTGTGAGTGTGAGTGTATTTATTTGCTTACTAATAGTAATAATAACCTTTGCGAGGTTGTTGGCACATATATTATTGAACATATATGTTTGTGGACGACATAGGTACGTGGCTCACATCAGAGGTTTGTTAACTGAAGAAAACCTAGCCATATATCACAATGCAAGGGGATGAAAGAGTGAACCAATGTTTGATGAAAAATTGAAGCCCATCCTCTGCTGGCGCGTGTTGCGGGTAGTAGCTGCTATATTTGACCTCACTTTCCTTTTGTTTTTCATAAGGCAATACCCAAGTGAAGTGAACACATTAACATAATTGATTTTGACATTAATGTACCACCCATATTCTTTACTTTCTTCCTTCTCTCCACTCTCGAGGCTTGTGTCGCTCTCGCACAATATAACCATGCAGGCCCCATCTATAATAACAGATCAATTTTTAACTCCAAAAAATAGTTATATATTAAATTCTTTTTACTCTTATATTCTAAACTTAATAAATAATTTTTAGTTGGTCAACATAAAGTTTGAACTTCAAATTTTTTGCTATCTATTCCAATCCATAAAATAATTCTTGTGTAAAACTTGATCTAAGCTCCTCTGTTTACTTCATCTCCACCCACAAGAGTTAGCATAAGATGGGTAATTGGGTATGCATGCAATTCTCACTGCTAAAGAAAACCAAGTCATTCATTACGAAAGAAAATTAAATTGTTAGTAAGGAATATCATCTCTCTTTATATACCATTACCTCTTTAGATGAAAAATAATGTACGGAACTTTTCCCTTAATAATTTATTCCCTCAATAGAATTTCTTTCACTGATCACATTGCTATGATCCCTTTCTACATACCAACCTTATCATGATAAAAGTCTTTGGTTTTTATCAACTTCCTGCGCAAGAATTCAGTGCATGTTTGAATTGTAGTTAAAAGAGTTTAAAGTATTTTTATTTTTAAAGGAACACATTTTCCTTCTTCATTTTATACTTTGAAATCTGGCGATATGCAATAGAATCCTTAATTTTTTTTTATCCAAACATAGCTTTAAATAACTGATACCCTTACGATCTTCATATTATAGGAAAATACAAATGAGTACAAAATCGCAATGGCAAAACTTTTTCAGAAACCTTGTACTTGCTCTCCAATGTAATCTGTTTAATTTCTTCGAGCAGATCACTGTTCGTTGAAAATTTCATCAGGTGTGAGAGTACGGAATAACCTTCCGCAACTATATAAAGTCATGTACTTGCAATGTAGCACTCATTATTAGCACAAGTTTTGTTCGAAAACCATTTTTCCACGATTTATAGTTATACCCCTAAAATTGAAAGTATCATCTTCTGCTATTCATTAGACCATCGTAATTAGAATGCTAGGGACACAATTAATATATATGGAGAAATCCAAATTTATTTCTGTAAACATTTGAAAAAGAAAAATATTAATGATATACCTTCTAATACACTTTTTATTATTGATTAAAATTTATTAAAAGTTAAAAAATTATTTTAAAAAATGAGACCTATAATTTTTAATAAATTTCAAATAATATATATATAAAAAAAATCACATTAGGAGACATGTTGTGATGACTTAAAAATTAGTATTTCTCTTCTTAAAATTAATCACTACTCTCGTACTCACTTTTTGATGAGTTCTATTTACACATGAAAGATATTTTATCAAAATGTCTGTGTTCCAGTATCTTTGATCAAGAATTATGATTGAATAAAATAAATAAGTTTTTTTATGAGTCTTATTTCTTTTAATAAATAAATAAATCACCTGTATTTCATATATTGTTAAAGTTAAAAGTAAATTAGATGAAAACAAAAGGAGTTATTTATTTCATCCAATTTACTTAATATGATGAAAAATATATGTAATTAAAATGGTAAAGTGCTTTTCCCCCTAAATGAAACACGGGAAGAGTGTTTGATGTGTGAATTTGTGAAATATTTAATAGAAAATTATTATAATAATATATTTAATAGATGTCCAACGAATTATTGAAATTATGACAGCCTGTAATAGAATTTTTTTATTAAATTTTCTTATTTTTATTGTTTAAAATATAAAATATTTTTAGTTTTATGTACAAAACCAGCAAATACTTTTGTGGAAATCATTATTTATTGGAAATTAAATATTTAAATAATTATATATAAAAAATTGCCTGTCCCTTTGAGGCTGAGTTTTATTTCTTAACAAACCTCTTATTAGTGTTTTTTTTATCATTATTTTATACTTGACTTCTACTTCTAGAATCTAGATACTAGATGGGCAAAAAGTGATTTAGAGTGGCAGCATTAGAGCAACGAAGCGAAAAAGCAAATATTACGCGTGCTTTTATAATTATGCATAGAAATCATAAATAAGCAGCTAGTGATGATTTTCAATGAAAATAGACTTTCCATGGAAATGTATGATGTATGTTCCTTTCTTCACATCTACTCAAAGATAAATTGTTCGATCATCAAATGTCCATGCATGCATTAAGGCCCCTTCCAAGGTTTTGAATTAGTCTTTTCTTATGTACGTAGTACTAGTGCCTTTCACTTTCAACTTTAATGTCCATCCTAAAATATCATCGACTCAACATAGCATAAAGTAATTCATTGCAAGATTTTAGGAGCTATTAACTATTAATATGCATGTGTTGCACATTTTCGTTTCCCCTGCTGTTAAAAGATCTCAACAAAAATTCAATGTGTTATTAATTCCAAGTATTTATTAGTAAAAGCATAAATTTATCTGTACTTAAAATAATAACTAGACGGAAAATAAGTATTATCTTCTAAATATAATCTAATTCATGTTAGGCTATAAATTAATGCTAATTAATTTGTGTTAAATTATCATATGTTATTTTCTTTTTTAAGCCAAACACTGCTTCGAAGGGGCGTGGTAATTTGAGTAGGAATGAACACATAAACATAAAATTACGCAAAACACACCCCACCAACTAAACCTCTTCTGCTTTTCCATTCGTGGGATTAATTTGATAAACAAGATGTATATGACCAAAAACATAAACTTGTAACTTCATCATTAAAATATGATGATAACGCATGCAGTGATCGTGTTATGAACGGGTAAGCCTCCTACAATAATTATACAAGAAATTCACCAATGATCTATAGCAAAATATTATCCTTGGCAATTGGCATCATTTGAATCTTCACATGTGATACAAATAGCAGGGATAAATGAACGCACCTGTATTCTGTCAAAGAAATTCACCAATGATCTATAGCAAAATAACATCGTCATCATTTCAATATGTACGTGTCATACAAATAGGCTACTCAATTTAACGTCAAGCATTGCGAGTTGGAAATGAAAAGAAAAGTGAATGACAGAAACAGGGGAAGAACCGCAGATCATGTGAAAAACAGAATGATAAATGAATAAGAGAGAGAAAGAGAAAGAGGCCAGAAGTCAAGTTTCTCTAATTTTTTAGGATTTTGGGGTGAGGATTTATAATGGTGATTTTATTTTTACATGATCTCGCCAAATCTTACATTAGCTAGCACCCCATTATTCAAAATTAGTATTTGCACCTGTTTTAAGGACACACTAGTAATCTTCTTGTCTCTAAGGACTGAACGAGAATTCCAAACGAATATTCTGGTGAGAGGGAAGGTACCTGCAAAAGTCACTCCGACGCTCAAGTTAGGATAAACACAAATATCGATAGTAATTAATGAACAGTGACGTTACCTCGTGACATAAACTATTTATACTGACATTTATGAACCCTGATCTCCATGGACCCTGCAACATGATTACCGTATTAGGTAATATGTCCCTAATCGGTTTATTAGTGTGATTAACCCTTAATTCTTGATTACGGGTAATCCTTGAGTGTAGGCTGATCCTGGTAGCCGATTGGGTGTCGACCATCAGGTTCGGTCATTCGGTGGCCGATGAGATTTCGGCTACATAGTAGCCGAATGCTCTTACCCATAGAGTATGCATAATATCAATAATCACAAGAACCAAAATATGAAGTCACAAATCAAGTTCCTAATCATAAAACGTCATACTTTATATATTGCTCCATTCAATATTCTGTCATAAAAAGTGATAGTTTATATATTGCTACGTACAATATTCTATCGACGGATTTGGATTCTCTTATAATTCGGTAACATCTCAATTTTTAATTTCATAATTATAATAGAGGAGGTTGAATTTTTTGGTGTACACAATTTTGATCCAATTTTACTTCTAGTATTACTCTTTTATAAATCAAATTTTTTTTATCCTCTTTTATAAATGGCGTCTCATAATCATTCATATTTTTAATTAATCATTCATTATTATATAATTTTTATTATTTTTAAAAGTTTCATGGA